ATAATAATAATAATAATAGTAATGTTTGCATTCATATGGCACATATCCACGTTCTACAGCATGCTCTATGTGCTTTACCTCCAGTATTATCTAAGGAGGTCCCAGAACACACAGAAACATAATTTTTGGCTTCCCGGGAAGCATACAATGCAAGCTGAGGATTGCATGCTCTCAAACATTAACAAACTGACAAGATCTTCCCCTGTCTGTAGCCAGGTACCCATTCCCACCTGGGTGAAGTAAGGAGAATTCGTATAAATTGCCTTTCCCCAGAACACAACGCCGGGTCCCTGACGCGATTGGAACCCACGACCTTACCGGTACAGTTGCGAGTCCGAGAGCCTAACCACAAGGTCACCAACGGCGCAAAATAGTTGTGAGAGCCGTAATATTCATATCAAACTGAAGATCCCGAAACTCCTTGAGGTCAAACGGTCTGACGCGCAATCAACTCCTTGCGCGCAATACAACCCCGAAACCCTTCAGTGCGGGAACCACCTCAGCGCTGACTTAATTATGTGTGAGTGTCTCGCATACCCAGGCTTCTAAACCTAGGCTATCGTACTACATGTACTGTAGTTGTAGTAAGATAGCTTGGCTTTAAACTCATCCCCGACCTATACGTCTTCCCTCAGATGACCAAATCACCGCGTCGTCACAACAGGAGGAGTGTCCGAGCAGCAGCGCCCCCCGTCCTCTCATTCCGCTGTAGCAGTAACATGAGCAGCTCCAACCTCCAGGATCGACCAATACCCAAGCAACGACTCCGACCATGGCTTGAGCGCCTTCTGAACAACCACGGCAGCTGCCCGGGTGTGGAGTGGGTCAACCGGAAGGAGCAAGTATTTCAAATTGCCTGGCGTCATGCCTCGAGCCAAGGCTTCCAGGAAAACAAGCACAGCGACATCTTCAAACGATGGGCCCAGAACACAGGTGACTATGGCTACATTCTTCACACGAACATGAACATGTGTTCACATTGCTATAGTTTGTTCACCTTTGACTGTCCATGTATTTAAAAAAAATGCTAGCTCATATCTATTGATTTACCTCTATGATCACAAAACTTCGCATGGCACTTCTGCAGGCGGGTGACCAAACAGAAATATTTCTTTACAAAATATTGATCCAGTAATAGAAAAGTTGCTCTATTTGGGTCTTATATTAAAAACCGCTCTTTGGGTGCATACGCAGGATTACTGAAATAAAGGATTTACAGTAATCTTGTATATAAATTGCTCATTTTGAGACAGCGACACCTCCCTGCCGCCACATTTTGGTGTAGATCTAAGCTTGTAGATTTTATCCCACGACTGCCTAGACATCTCCACGTGAGTCTCGAAAACTGATCTCCCGTCTCTTGGACCATATTTTTTAATTTTTGTTTTTTGGCTCAACACCATTTGTGTCCATTTAAAAACATTCCTGTGTGGATTTTACTGAAAAACTTAGATTAAAGGCACAGCAAATGTAAATTTTCATTTTCCAAGGACTCTCAAGCTTTGGAAATCACCAAACTTTGGCGGCCATTTTCTCGCTAATTTTACCCCAGAAACCAGACGACCCCTACCCCCTCCAATCGTAAATATCTTGACCTCTATCCAAGATAGGCATGTATTCGGTCAAATGAACACGCTTTTAGATGATACCAATAACTCCAGATGTTCAAAAACTGACAAGCGCCTGATTCTCCGGCGTCGTGACATGTTATTACTATTACATACTGCACATGTACTTGTACATAATATTGCTCTCGTCAAAGGAAAAGCATAACAACTTAAAAGACTAGATTTTTTACTTCAGAAAGGGTTATCATTAATTTTATCACTACCTTTATCCTTATCATTCCTAAAGCGTATCTTTAATTCATCATATCATCGTATTTATCTGTATAAGCTAGGAGTTCTGCTGAGGCTACTTTATCGTTTCGTAAACTTGTCTGTAACTGTAATAAATACAGTAATGATTAATTTTAACTTACGTTTCTTTGTAGGCTACATGTACCATGTCTTTAGCCAGGAGCTCGACTTAAGCTACATGTATTTACGTTAATACGTTAAGCAGCTTCACCGCGTTCTGACTTGGCTTGTTCTAGATTAAGGTAATCTCAGTTGGTTCAGAATGTGCATGTACTTACTAGGTGTGGGTTAATTAAGCATGTTCTAGCTGACTAACTATTTTTTTATATAATATAGGCTTATATCTATACTCAGAGGCAAAAGAAATGCGAATAACTAAAGCATGAATAAAACTCACTTCACTTATTGACTTCACAGTAAATTAATGATATTTGCGTTCGTGCCCAATTTATACAGCCGTGAGGTTTAACCCTATCCGTACGCCCTGGGGTCATTTTGTAACCCCGGGGGTTGTATTCTTCACATTTTAGACTACTTCTAGTATGAAGATCTCTTTGAAACTTTCAGTATATCTCAAAAAATCATTTTGACAAACTGCTATGCAAAGCGTGCGGATCGAGTTAACGAGTAAATTTCCTCTTTGGATAATGGTGGCACAGAGTTCCCTCCGTCGTATGGATACGATAGTAAAACACGACGTAAAGATAGGGTTAAGTGTAGTTTTAGCTTTATTCTACTATTTCTGTGACCTGTACCTTGTGGCAAAAAGTTAGTATCGTGTGTGAATGTCCGTTGGCTGCAACGGAGACAAAAAGTAGTAATCTCAGGCTTCAATAACTGGTCTGCATCTTCAACCCATTGAGTTCACAAGAGTGTTTATTTGTCAACATGGAATCTGTGCCCACACCTGGCCGATGGCTTACAGTAGGCGTCAGTGGTGTAGCGGTTAGGCGATTCTCTGTTGCATGCCGGAGACATAGAATCTACCTATATCTAAAGAATTTTTAAAAAATTTAGTTTTAGTTTTAGTACAGGTTTTACGGCACTCCAACTGCATAAGGTCATATGAGCGCCAGAAGATTAGAGGTGTTACAAGAGAGTAACAAACATAAAAAAAAGAAGAAGGGGAGATAAGAACGATAGATATTTGATAGGAAAGAAGAAGCAAATCACTCCAGAGCACCCGCCAACCACCCACGAATTAAAAATAGAATTCTTTTGAAACCATTTCAGGCAAGAGGATTGACCATACAAAAAACAAAAGTAACTTTCGATGTGCCTTGCGGAGCCTTAAGGACTGTGTCGAACTGACGGCTTTCGGG